GAGAGAATTAATATGGCTGTAAATATATTTAAAGAAACGGCTGATAAAGGAAATCCCTCTGCACAATTGAGATATGGAATATGTTTATGGAAAGGTGAAGGTATTGCTGCAAATTCTTTGGAAGCTTTTAGATATTTAAAAAATGCAGCTAATTCAAGAAATTCCACCGCAATGTATATTATTGGAAAGGCTTATTGGAATGGTGGTAATGGTATTGAACAAGATAGGGAACAAGGGGCAAAATATTTAAGAGAAGCTGCTAAGCATGATCATCCTAAGGCTTCAGAAATGTGTGCTAAATATAATATAACGGTCAGTATGGATGTCCTTTGATCGTCTTGTGTAACATTTTTAATTAAGAGATCTGCAAGTTGCATTTTATAATAAAAATTCGAATACATATAGAACAATACAATATTTTCACAATTTTCAATTATAATATACTAAAATAATGCATTGTATCATGTAACACAAAGTGGTCAGGCTTATAATTTGATGTATTATTAATAATATTTTCATTTTTTGCGCTTAATACTCTTCTTGTTTAAAAGAATCTTAGCGTTGAAGTTAATATAAAATTCAATCTATTGAAATGGAAACATGTGTAATAAATGAAGAAACTTTTGAGGAACATTTCTCTTTACATTTTAGCGATAGTCAGGATTCATATTCAGAACAATCTGATAATGAATCTGATACAACTTCAGAATTTTTTGTTGAACATCCTAAATTACAATTATTTGAATTTAGTGAAGAAAATTATATTAAAGTACAAATAGCACTTAAACGAGAATTTGTGGACCAGTTAAGTGATGAAAATGAGGAAGACTTTGATGCAGATTCAAAAACCCAAGAAGTTCCTTTACTCCCATACCAATTGAAGAAACGAACAAGCCTACATATAAACCTAATCCGACTGTAAAAGCAATTTTTCACCATGTGTTCTAATCGACTATTTAGCTTCATATATATTCTCTTTCGCAAAAGATGTTATTAAATTAGTAAAAAAATTTCTCTACTTTTTAGTCATAAATGCTTTATTTTTTATTTAGAAATCTAAATGTATATTATTGATAAAAGCTAATTATAAATTTTAATATATTAATATAGAATTTTATAATATAATCATGAAAACTTAAAAGATACCTGCAAGTAATTCATGAAATCTTTGGTTTAATTGCTTGTAAACTGAAACTTTCTCTAGCTGAGTTATATCTTCTTCTTGTAATAACTCCTCAGGTATTTCAAATTTTTCTTGAATGTTATTATTTATTTTCAATCACTTGTTATATGATTTGACTAATTCATCAATAGAATTTGAAAGGTAATCATGACAATAAGTATAAAAATTTAATTTTGTTTAAATTCATAATGATAAGCATATCCGCATAGCATAACCCACCCATTAATTTCAGAATTTATACATTTCATTGCATCATAGAAATAGTTAGGCTGAGAAAGTTTAATTGAATAGTATTCTAATGGTAAAGCTCCTTTAGAGAATCCTTTTGAAATACCTGGTAAGTACCATTAAGATTTTTTAATCTGTTTTTCTTCTTTTTTTACTTTAAAATTTTCCAATATTTTTGAAAAGATTATTAAAAAATTGCAATAAAAAAATAGCTGCACTTTTTGCTAATGTATCAATATTTTACTTTAAATAAGGATATGTTTTTTAAATTTAAAAATCTGAGTAAAATCATTATTATGATATTAAAAATCAATAAATATTTCATCTCATCTTAACCATTCTGGATTTAGACTTTTGCATTACTTTGTCTTCTAACAAGGCTATAGAAGTATTCTACAGAATATTCATCGAATACATTGAAGTGAGTATTAAGTATTGGAAAAATAGGATGATTGATTTTAGTCCAATATTGAATATCTGATAAAAATGTAAGCATAATTTTATCATAAATTTTTTCTTTGGAATTGGCACATTACTATCCATAATCAGAATATTGTTTATCAAAGTAGTTATTTTAAAAAGGTACTAGATAAATATCTAATGTTAAAGGTATTAATGAATCTAGTAAGTCAAAAAAGTACAATATACTAGATCTTTACTCTTATTAAACCATATAATAACTTGTTTTCTAATTAATTTTCATGCTGCATAGGCCAAATATAATAATAGATTTATTCTCCAAGGTGTAAGCTTTACTGCTAAATTCCTTTTTTTTGGAAAACAGCTTTGTAAAGTTCATTAAAAATCCCAAAATATCAAAAACAGCTTTTTCAAATATTAAGAAAAACATGTAAAAGTCCTAAAAAAGGTATAAAATGTGTAATTATATTTGAAATTAATGATAAATTTCCTAATTTTAGCTTTTAAATAATAATATATCTAATATATAATTGTCCTGAAAAATCAGCAGATATAGATATTAAAAATTTTTGAAATATTTTTGAACTTCTACAAAGCTAAAAATAAATGAATATTAATATTAACTTTAAAAAATATTAATTATTATTATTTATATTTAGCCAAAAAAATCTTTAAAGATTTTAAATAATCATTAACATTTTTTAAATTTTGAGATAAAAACTTGATTAATTTTATAGATTTAAAAGAGCATTAAGAATATATTTTCAATAAATCAGTATCATAAGAATAAATAATCAAAGATTTAATAAGATCATTGTTATATCAGTTACAAAGTTCCATTCTATTTTGCTTTGATTATAACTCTTATAAATAATATTTTTAAAATTAACTTTAAGTAAATTTTTAGCAAGGTTGTTTTAATATCATTAGAATATGAATATCAAAAATTTGCAAATGATATAAGTGAAATTAGTGATGCAGTAATATTATTAATAAGTAGCTTTGCTATATGTGAAATTTGTGAAATAAAAGTATTATTTAGAATTCATGATTAATATAAATTGTAATGATCATCAATATTAAATATCAAAAGATGTTTATACTATTATATCAATATGTAGATATAAATTATATTAAAAAATTAGTAAAAAATTCTTTTTAAAAATATTTTTTAAATAATAAACTAAAATTTTAAAATATTTAATATTTTAATTTAAATGATACAATACAGATTGGGTAAATTAATAAAAAATTTAAAATTTAAATAAAAATTATATTTTGTTTAATATAAGCTTTTACTAATACATTATATTTATTTAATATTCTTTTATTCAGTTAATTACTATTTAGTATATAGAACTTAAACCTATTCTAGCAAGTAAATCTAATTAAAATAGCACAATCAGATGAAAATGGATTAATTTCTACTTTTGATGAATGGACGAATATAAAGCAAGAAAATATTTGAGAAGTTGTATTAATTACTTCAAAAGGACAACCTCTAATCTAAGATGTTAAAGAAATAAGTTCTGAAACGATAAATAACTGAAGATGTTATAAAACATATTGAATAATTAATAAACGAAGCTCAAAATAAAAAAAAAATTAATATTAAAGCATTTATATAGATTCTGCTAGAAAATATACTGCTGCAAGATAAGATAAATTAAAAAAATTGTATAAAATAGTTTATTTATATTTTAATTACTAATTAGGAAACAATTAAGAAGAAAATATCCTGCAAAAATATTTCTTCCTTGTATGATACATCAGATAAATTAAGTATTTAGTGATATATTTAAAGAAAATGCAGTATTTCAAAGAATTTCCAAAAAGCAGTTCAAATTGTTAGTTATTTTCATAATTCTATATTTTATACAGAAAACTTGCAAGATGAATAGGAACGAATTTATAAAAAACAATCAAATTAGTATTACCTTTTTTTTAATGATGTGGTACTATCTTAAGTTTATTATATTTATGTTATATTATTACAAATAAATAGAAAATAAATAACTAATTTAAAGGTATCAAATTAGTATTATCTAATAATACTAGATAAAATTCATATTATTTTTGCTTTTATTTAATTTTAAAAACTCAAGCTATCTTAAAGATAATTAATTAAATTTAAGAAAATTATCATTTATCACATATGCGATTTATTGTCACACTTCCTGTATCATATGATAATCATATGAAATATTATTATTATAACATTTTTATGTCATTTCTACTTATTTTGTCTATTATTCTATTTTTGATCAATTTGATTATTAAATTTCTTTTTTTGTTCTTGTTTTATTTGTCTTCTAAATCAAACTGTTTTATTCATTTTCATTTATTTTAATGGCTTTTTGCTTTACTATATCAAATACATATTTATTGAGCTTGTTTTATTCATTTTTAATACTACTACAGCATAAAGAATAATACCTATTATTTACGTTAGCTGTGTTACTTTTTTGAAGTAATAGTTATTATTTGTATTCACTATAAACCTAATATGAACGAAAAGAATAAGAATAAAGATGATAATAATATATCTTTTTTGAATTTCTGAATTTTTAAAGTTATATTTGAGTTCAAGTTAGCTTTGTAGTTGCTTAGAATTAGAGTTAGAAATTAACCCATTTAGCGAGTTTAGTCAGTATAATTTGATGAGTAGACTCAAGGCTGGCATTATCTAAAATTTTCAGAAATATGATTACGATTAGATTTAAAGTTATGATTAGTTTCAGTTAATTAGGATTTATTAGGGTTTTTAGGTTTAGTAAAGTTTAGTTAAGGGTTAGTTATGATCAGTTAGGATTAATAAGGGGTTAGTTAGAATTAATTCAGGTTAGGTGTTATAATATTATTGCACAAAGTTACATGTTCAAAGATTTTTGATAGTGATCTTTGAAGAGTTTTTAATTGAAATACAAACTGCTAAAAGTTTATTTTCATTGTTATTTATTTATTTAATAAATTATATGAATTTATAAGCAGGCTTTAAATAAGATGTTATAAAATAATTTTAGATCTGAACAGCTGATCTATTTTCTAGAAAATTTCTTAGAGGATGAAGATGATGAACAGAAAGAAATTTACCATAAAAAAGATTTAGGTAATAAAGAAAACTTAGATCCATTAATATCATTATTGCAAAATCCAAAGAAGAAATATGGTAAAAAATATCTGTTAGGTATAAAAAGGTTTAAATCAGTTTATGAAACTTATAAATCTAATTTAAAGAATCAATGATGATGTAGAAAATGTATAGATATTAAACATTATCAAAAAAATTGCAAGGGATTAGTACAACTCGAAATATCAGATAATAATTAGTTGTATATTGCTTATTTATTTTATATTTATTATAACATTATTGAATTATATTAAACTGTATAATAAATTGCATATATAATAAATTTATATTAAATGTTATACTATATTATAAATTATAGAATATATACAGTATAAGCAAAATCACGTAATATAAGAAATATCGATAAATTACTATGGTGATGAAAATAAAACCCTAAATTTAATTTTATTTATTTAATATTTATAATTACTAAAAAATATTATATTTTATAATATTATTAGTTTTTATTAGCAAAATTTAATTCAGAATGTGTAAATATTATTTGTACAATATCAGGAATTTTTTTCAATATAAGATCTATAGAGAAATCTAAATTAGATCATTAAAAAAATCTTAATGGATCTAATATTTTTCAAATACCTTGTGACGAAATATGTGAAATGGATTCACAAATTTTAAAGTCATTACACGTTGAAACTAGCAGAAACTGACAGACCTGTCAAATATGACATATATGCCAAAAATGCTATATCTGCCGTATAGGACACACATACCATTTATTATATTTTTATTATATCTATTATTATTATTATTTATATTATATTTAACATAATTAGCATATCTGTTAGCTCTGTTATTATTGTCAGTAGTATCATAAATACCTTGAAAAAAGAAGAGATCCTAATATTGTATTCAATATACATTAAATAATAATAATAAACAATCTTAACATTTTGCAAACATAAAAACTTATAATTTTATTTTTGTTAACTAAATAAACTCTCTAATAAATAGTGTGTCAAGTTGATTGGATTTAAGTCATAGCTATCATCTTCCTGACTTCAAATCATAGTTAACTTATTTGACGAAAAGAGTAACGTTAACAAGTGGTAATTTCTGCCAGAAAACTATTGACTTTATACATAACAGACTGCTAACAGATTTAGTGAGATGTATAAAAGTTTAAGTTAAGAGAATTAAGAAACAGAGATAATTTATACATAATAAATTGCTGACGAAATAGTGAGGTGTATGAATTTTGAAGCAATCGAGAGAAATATAGTAGA